TTCCTTTATTGTATCTTGAAACTATATGCCAGCTTAAAAAGATTGCTCTTGTTTCAAAGCATACTCAAGAATATTTAGCAGCAAATATTTTCTTTTTCACTTAATCAACAAGATTCTTCTCTTTCTTTTGCCTTAGATATTTTTTATTGCAATCAGTGGTCTTGACTGAGCAGGTTAAATAAATTCTTCTATTTCATTTCCAATTTCTTCTAGGGCTGCTATATTCCATGCTATGTGAAAACCATATGATCTCTGGGTTTTAGAGTTGGCTAATTTCCAAAGCAAGAATAGAAAAGATGAATAAGATCTACCTAAATAAGTAATTACCATGTCAATATAGACTCCAGATAATTGTAAACTTTATAATTTCATCCAATGATTGTTCCAGAGGGCTCAAAAATATTTATTTTGTTCCATTCTTATTTTATCTTTTATTATTTGTTGATATGGTTTGGCTCTGTGTCTGCACCCAAATAATCTCTCCTTGAATTGTAATACCCATAATCCCCACCTTCAAGGGAGGGGCCAGGTGGAGGTAATCAAATAATGGAGGTGCTTTTCCACATGTTGTATAAGGGGTTTCCCCCTTTGCTTGGACTCATTCTTACTCCTGCTACCCTGTGAAGAGGTGCCTTCTGCCAGGATTGTAAGTTTCTTGAAGCTTCTCCAGCCCTGTGGAGCTGTGAATCTATTAAACCTCTTTTCTTTATAAATTGCCAGTTATCTGTTATTTCTTCACAGCAATGTGAGAATGAACTGATACAGTAAATTGGTACTGAGGTAATGAGGCCCAAAGATGATTGGCAACCAACTACTTAAAAGTCAGTGTATTACATCAAGTTTTATTGTGTTTTTGGATCCCTTTTAATACTAACTTGACTCTTCAAGGCAGGGCTCAGCTGAGGGTTCTGCTGCAGGGAGCTGAGCTTGTCTCTACCTATAAATTGTATTCATCTGAGGTCAGGGCTAAAGGACAATATCTACCCAGGCACCACATTCTAATGAAAGCTGCAGGAATGAGCAATCTCCCCAAACCAAGTTGAACTGGTGAATGAAGTCTAATAATTTTGAACACAGATATATATAATTTTAACTTATTCTTTCACCTTGGTAATTATTAAGTTTCCTACAAACTTTTACTCCATTTAAACATCAAAGTTTTTTTAGTATTCCATGGATAGATAAATAACGTTTCTCTACCTTTAAAATCTTCCAATTGTTTTCAAATGTCATGTTGCATTGATTAAAAAATAAAGCTGGGTATGGTGTCAACATGTGGCTTTCCATTAAATTTTTTAATAGCCTCATTGTGATGATAATATACAGAGTTTTGCCCAGACTGGAGGGCAGTGGTGTCACCTTGGATCATTGTAACCTCCGCCTACCTGGGTTCAAGTGATTCTCCTGCCTCAGCCTCCTGAGTAGCTGGGATTACAGGCACCTGCCACCATGATATCTCTTTAGCTGAAATAAATATCACATAGAACATAGCTTCTTAAATCTTTTATAGATAACCTGTTACCAACTACCACTGTTAAATGAAGATTTTCATTAAGCAAACTGAAGGTTGTTCTGCTATGTAGCATGTGTATCATGCTCTCAGTGAGCTAACGATGCTGCTGGATTCTGGATACACGTTGAGTAGCCAAGAATTTTCATAATTTAAAAAATGCTACACCAATCTTTAGGTTATTCTGTTGTTTCTGTTTTTATCAAGAAAGGTTTTCCATTTGTTTGTAAAATGATTGTTATATATGCCATACCTGATTTTTAAGCTGTGTCTATGACTTAATAAAATTGTCTTGCTGTGTGACAAGTGAAAGTACATTCAAATGTATTCTGAGGCCATCTGTAACTGGCAAAATTTTTCACTATTTTGTGAAAATACTGACCATGTTGGACTCTCAGCTGTCAGTTTCTCATCATGACCATCAGTTCTGAAAGCACATTCTTCAGAACCACTTTTCCCTTTATACTTTGCTGTAGAGTTGTTCAGTGAGGGATCCTTTCACGACATTTGAAAGTCGGCTTCGTTGAGAACTAGAGAATCATCTAGAGAGATGCTGCAGGAGGCTGACAGCATCAGCACCAACATTCTGGGTTTCTCAGAAAGATCCAAGGACCATATGGCTAGGCAGCCCACACCTGCAGGGGAGGGTTCACCCTCATTTCTGGAGGAGCACCAGAGAATCCTGGCTCTAGTATCTGCTTCCCTAATTAACATCAACAAGGCTTTGAAAAGTTATAGTTTAGACACTAATTCTATAAATTAAAACAATTACTTCATGAAACAGCTAAAGTGGCTTCTCTTTTGCTATTTGAATTCCAATTATCTCATCACAGACAACTTTCAGGTAGTCAAATCTCTTTATTAAATCAAGACTGGTATTTCATGCCTGTGCTGCTGGGGATGAGGAGGAAAGTGAGTGGATGCAAGGGAGCCATCTCAGTACAATCTACCAAAATTTCTCCATGACCCTCAAAACGTGGCTGCAATTTTCATGATTTCCCTTATGATACTGATTTACAGTTGCATATATTCTTGAGTTTTGATTTATATCATGAAACTTAAACTTTCTAAAATGAACTCATTATTTACCAGCCAGCAGGGAACTCTTTACTTTCAAGATCTTAGTTAGAACAGTGGTCATGTTCCTTGGAGGTGAATCCTGATTATTGATAAGACAACAATATTAATCCTCTTTCCTGGAGCATAGACCGTGTGCCTGCAACACATGGTTGAAAAAAAAAAAAACATAGGAAACTGTGGAGGCCCTAGAACTCACCCACACACCCCATTTTCAGACATCATTTTAATCCTGTTCTTACCCAGGGACCCAGAGTTTCAGAAGCTCTGCTTAACTGCTGTGATTTGACTAGGACTGAGTGGCATGACCTCAGGTATTCTTGTCCAGGGACTTCTCTAAACCTTTGATGATCACAGACCTAAATACTTACGATATTACTTTCCTGTGAGACTCCCAGTGGCACAGGCTTTACCTAGGAAACTAGGCAGCAGTGCCTTCAACTCTGTGGTTCTTCACAGAAACATATTTGGCCCCTTTTGGAATCCATATCATCAAATACCATGCCCACCACCAGCCACAACCCCACTCACCGCAAGCCAAAGGCAGTTTAATTGAACAACATCTGACCTCCCCTGTGTTCTCTCCATGCTCCCTTTTCTGCAGTCGGCCCAATCTCAAATTCCGAAAGTTGGAAAATAAAAAAGTCTACATTATCCTGTGTTTCCTCTGTGATCCGTGGTAAATACTACACCTTTAGTGTACTGCACCTTCCAGAATATACATTTTATTTTTAAAATCAACTTTTGAAATTTCAAGAACTCCCTTTTTCTATCAGCAAGAAGTAATTGTAATCAAAGAGTTTTAGTACTAGGATCTTGTGTCTGCTATGAAATAACAAAATCTATTTGACGCTCACAACCAAGATGTTACTGATTGTCCTCAGCCAGCTCCCCTGAGAAAAACTAGTGGAAAATTCTGTCTCTACTGTCTCATGGAGTGGAGAACAGCGATAAATAGAAGCCACAGGAATTTAAAAAGCAAGAAAATACCAATTTTACATATAACCAAGTATTTTCTTTAAAATGCACCCAAAACTGTTAAACCCTAAGATGTATTCAACATATTTTGCCAGAAATAATCAATTACCTGGCTGTTTTGCTCAATGTATTTAAACAAATGTAGGCAAGGAAGGAGGATTTAGATGAGCTCAGTTCTTCTTTTCCTTTCATCCCAATTTTTCACTCACAGAGCTTTAGTACCTCCTCATTCTCCTGTTGTTTATGAGAGTCAAGACTGGCAGGTGACGGGAACATAAACAGGGGTGCTGACCTGGCGCAATGGCTCATACCCCTCACGCTGGGAGGCCCCATCAGATGGGTGGCTTGAGCCCATGAGTTTGAGAACATGCACCTCTTCCAGATTTAACAACTTCACCTTTTCTTCATGAATGTTGCAGTCTTCATCTTTACCCATAACCCTTTTCATTCACTCTACTTCTGCTGACCCCCCCCCCCCCCCCCGCCATGGCCATGTTGTCTCTGAAGCTGAGGAAGCAGCTCTGACTGCAAGTATGATAGACCTCAGGACCTGAAATGAGCATTCCCTAGAACAGCCTTCAATCAGTGAGATCAGGTGAGGTGTATAAACACCCCAGCTCCCTCAGCTCTCAGCTGGAATAGCCCAGAGGCATTCTTTTGTGTTTCCATGTGGGCTTCAGCTCTTGTGGCCCTCATGGGTAGTTGCTTGCTGTCAGGCCTTTCACCATCTGTCATCTCTTCCTTGCTTCACTTTGTGTCTTCAGTCTGAGGGTTTCCTGCAGCTTGTAATTAGTGTGCTTACAAGGAAATCTTTGTCCTTAGAAACTCAACCTAAGACTATAAGCAAATCCTCGTTAGATAAGAGTACTTATCTTATAAAGTTCTCTCTGGCATAGTAAGCAAATGCTATAGAATTCGGGCAGGTCTTCCGGCAGAGCATCAGCAGCCCCAAATTGGGGCTTCTCAGACATGTCTGAAACCACGTGATTGGCAATCATACCTTCTGTGGCAGATGCACTGTGAATTCTAGGGGAGGCCCAGATTATTCTTCTGTTCTAGTATTTGCATCTTTGACTACCATGCCCCAAAGCCTTTTATATGCTGTCATTTAGACTCCCATTTCCTGTATTTAGAAAAAAATTCTACTTGAAATTCCAAGAGTGGCTTCGTTTTTTAAGATATTAATTGAAACTCACACCATAACCCAGACTCCTCTGGTGTAGTAATCTCTTCTTAATGAAATCAGGACAGGCTTTTCCATGTTTGTGATGCTGGGTATGAGGAGAAGGAAAGACAGTTAAGGTATAGAGGAGGCCATCCCTTCTAGCAAAACTTTCCAGTGACCTTCAAAGCTTGACTGCAATCTGAGAGTTGCTCTCAGCAGATGGGGGCACCAGGAGAAGCAGCTGTGGCAGCCCAGTCTCACACATCTGCTTCACTGGGTGGTTATTGTTATGACCTGCAACACTGTGGGAGGGTAACTGTAATCCTGTTGACAGTAATAAGTGGCAAAATCATCAGGCTGCAGGCTGCTGATGTTGAGAGTGAAATCTGTCCCAGATCCAGGGCCACTAAACTGAGATGGGATTCCCGACTGCAATCGGGTTGCAGCAAAGATCAAGAGCGTAGGGGCTTTCCCTGGTTTCTGCTGATACCAGGGTAATTCATTGCTAATTCCCTGACTCACCTGGCAGGTGATGGTGACTCTGTCTCCCGCAGATGCAGACAGGAAGGATGGAGATTGGGTCATCTGGATGTCACATCTGGCACCTGAGATTGAAAATATAAAAACAAACATCTACACAATCAATCATGTTATAAGAAGCTCTCCCTGAAGAGACAGGTAGTGCTTAGCATACTGTCTGAGTAAATTCCTAATGTTCCTTCCTTACCTGGGAGCCAGAGCAGCAGGAGCCCCAGGAGCCAAGCCTGCTTGTAGTCTAGCCATGGTGGCAGTTGATTGGATTGTGTCCACCCAGATTAAGGGTGGATCTGCCTTCCCCAGCCCACTGACTCAAATATTACCCTCCTTTAGCAACACCCTCGCAGACACAGCAAGGAACAGTACTTACATCCTTCAATCTTAGCAAGTTGACACTCAGTATTAACTATCACAGAATTACAGGCTTGAACCATCACACACAACTTCATTGTATATTTCATACAATTTCCTGATTTTCCAATTTTATCTGTGACATAGTAAAGCTTTCTTGCTGTGATCCCAAACTTGCTTGTGACACTTGAAAGCACATTTAAATGTATTCTGGGACAACTTTTAACTGGCAAACTTTTGGGACTTATGGAAAGAGTCACCTTACTTGCCTGTCAGCTGTCAATTCCCCATCATTACTATCGCTTCCGGAAGCACATTTTCCAAAACCCCTTTTCTCACTCTGGTTTCTTTAGAGTTGCTCAATGAGAGGCCCTTCCATGAGATTTGGAAGTCAGAGTGGTAGGTTCATGAACACTGACACCTGAAATAAAACACGTGGAGTTAGGTGTGAACGGAAGAATCACCTAGAGAGGTGCTGCAGGCAACTGAGAGCATCAGCACCCCCGGCCCTGTGCTTCGCGGACAGGTCTGAGGATCATCACACTGGTACTCAGCACATACCAACAGAGGCAGCTGCACTCTGGCTTCTGGAGGAGCACCTGAGAATCCCGTCTCTAGTACCTGCTTCATGAATAACATACCATAGGCTTCAAAAAAACTGTCTTTTAGACTCCAATTTATTCAATTTCAACAATTTCTCCTCGGAATTTTTTTTTAACAGGCAGAAACTTTTATTTTATTTTTAGACAGAGTCTTGCTGTGTCACCCAGGCTGGAGTGCAGTGGTGCAATCTCAGCTCATCTCGAGAGTAGCTACTGTTGTGCCGTATGAATTTCAATTATCTCAATATACAGACTCCTCAAGTGAACCTCCCTCTCTTTTTTATTGAATCAAGACAAGACAAGCATTGTCACATCTTTTCTGCTGGGGATGAGGGCGGAAGAGGCTTAGGGTTTAGAGAAGCCTCCATGACCCCCTCTATAATAATCTCCCAATGACTTTCAAAACCTGACTGAGTATGAGAAATACTCTCAGCAGATAGAGGCACCAGGAGGAGCATCTGGGGCAGCCCCGCCTCACAAATCTGCTTCCTTGGGGGTTTATGTTATGACTTGTAACACTGTGGGAGGTTTACCGTAATGCTGTTGACGGCAATAAGTTGCAACATCTTCAGGCTACAGGCTGCTGATGGTGAGAGTGAAATCTGTCCCAGATCCACTGCCACTGAACCAAGAGGGAATCCCAGTTTGCAAACTACATGCAGCATAGATCAGGACCCCAGGAGCTTTCCCTGGTTTCTGCTGATACCAGGCTAAATAACTGCCAATGCCCTGACTCACCTGACAAGTAATGGTGACTCTGTCTCCTACAGATGCAGACAAAAAGGATGGAGACTGGGTCATCTGGATGTCACATCTGGTACCTGAGATTGGAAACATAAAAACAAATATTCATACTATGAATCATGTTATCAGAGGACTTCCCTGTAGTTCCAGCAGGACTGAGCACACTGGCTGAGTAAATTCCCAGTGTTCTCCCTCCTTACCTGGGAGCCAGAGCAGCAGGAGCCCCAGGAGCTGAGCGGGGACCCTCATGTCCATACTATGTCCTGACTGGGACTGACTCCTGCACGGGGTGTGACCAGCCTATTAATAAGTGTGCAGAGCAAGGGGTTGCATTCTGGGACATGCAAATCAGCAGGGTATGGGGCAGGCTGGGCACAGCTGCAGGGCTGGCTCATCTCAGTAACTCAGCACAGGGGCAGTGTCCCCAGGGTCCCAGGTCAGACCAGGCAGCTCAGATTTACCTTGAGAAAATACATTGTTCTTTGGGGTCACACGGTTACAGAACATATTTTGTTGTGAATTTTCAAAATTTATGGGAACCTAGTGTATTTTATACTTGTATTAGGAGTATATAGGGAAGCATCATTTTGGCGGAAAATTCATAATAAAGTTGTAGAATGTGGGGCTGTCATTAATTTCAGTTTCTCTCTAAGGAATTTGATGACTCGAAAAGTGTTTAGTGCTGTATAACAATATCTCTCTCAAATGAATTTGATGAGTGCAAAAGTATTTAGTGCTATACTAACAATGTCTGGCCGGGTGCGGTGGCTCAAGCCTGTAATCCCAGCACTTTGGGAGGCCGAGGCGGGTGGATCACGAGGTCAAGAGATCGAGACCATCCTGGTCAACATGGTGAAACCCCGTCTCTACTAAAAATATATAAAAAAAAAAAATTAGCTGGGCATGGTGACGTATGCCTGTAATCCCAGCTACTCAGGAGGCTGAGGCAGGAGAATTGCCTGAACCCAGGAGGCGGAGGTTGCGGTGAGCCGAGATCGCGCCATTGCACCCCAGCCTGGGTAACAAGAGCAAAACTCCGTCTCAAAAAAAAAAAAAAAAAAAAAGTCTGTCAGTGTTAAAATGTTTGTTTATTAAATGAAAATTTAAGACTTCATCAGAAGTGTGTTTAATAAATTCAATAGAATTTGCTAATAAACTTTAGCCACTGTTCTTAACAGTATAAGAAACCGTGATTAGCTGAAGATGCACAGATGATACTTAAGCCACCCATAATTCTGCCATTATCCAGAGCTATGGGTCTCTTTAAACCCAGGGCTAAATGTTTTGCATCTGATTCTTGGCATAAGGATCCTTATATTCTATCATTTTTCCTGCATTGGGTATGTTTTCTTATGGTCACCAGCATGGAGGGCTGACTAGTAATGCCAAGTCTGATTATTTCAATTAAAATCTCTGTTCTACTCACTAACTTTAGGAGGCTGGATTAGGAACCACTTGAAGCCCTCAATCAATCTAGGCTCAAAGAATCGTTTCAAAGCAGGATGAGAAAGGCCACATTTTCTGGGTAATGCTCTGAGCTCCACTCCCCACCACTCTGTTTCTGGGGTCTCAGATGCATCAGCCCTATAGTCTGGCTTTCTGGAGAGCAGGTGAGGGGGAGGCCATGGGGAAAGGTTGGGTCAGTGAACCCTCTCTCCTTAGTGAGGGCGGCTGCTGCTCAGTGCATGTTCTTGCCGTGCACCATCAGTAACCCTTTCCTCTTTTACTCTTCAGCAGTGAGTGAGGACACCATCCTGACCCCTGTCTCACATCCATTTAGAGAGAGTCTCCATTTCCTGCCATGCTGCTGCCCATGTAGATGAAAAAAATATTTTGAATCCAGGTAAACCTTAAGCACTGATTTGAACCTCAAAAAATCACACAGCTGCCCTTGCCCAGGGCATGTTGGCCTGCTTCAGCAGCAGGGGCAGTGCAGCCAACTGCATCAGTATCAGTGGACTGACGCCCAGGGACTTCAGGGAGGATTTCTCATGCACAACTAGGAGTAACCAGACCGAGATAGTGCCGCCTGTGCATAAACCTCCTGCTGCTTCTCCAAGGGACTCAATTTTAGGGAAATGGCTACCAAACAGCCTGCCAGGATCCAGATGTCCAGATTCAGACAGATACATCTCTAGATTCAAATGTACGTTTTTTCTTTCTGTGTAATTTTAGCAGTCGTTATTACTACACCTTGGTGCTTCAATTCATTGTACTTCAGCTGACTCTCTGTGGCTCTGTTTGCCCTTACTGCTCTCACTGAAGCTGGGGAAGGCAGCTCTGCCTGCAAATGTGACAGACCTTACGCCTAAAATTAACATCCTCTAGGACCGCTATCAATCAGCAATTACATGGGAGGTGTAGATATAGCCCAGTTCCCTCACTTCTATGGTAGAATAACAGAGGCATTTTTTCCTGTGTCCCTGTGTGGGCTTGAGCTCTTGTTATCCTCAGAGGTGGCTCCTTGCTGAGGGATGTTTCACTGTCCCTCCTTCCCTCCCTTGCTCACTTGCTTATTTCCTGCACTTTGTAAATACACTGCCTGCATGGAAATCTTTGTCATCCTTCTCACTGGGGGGACCCAACCTAAAACTTTGGGAAAATCCTCATTCTTGGAAGACATTTTTGGTTTGAATCACTGCCATCTCTCATGTTTTAATGTATAAGAAAATTCAGAAAATTTAAGAAATATTTAGATTCCCTTTGCTAGTCTTCCTTAGATTTGTTTTTAGCAGAGAGTCATTTTTTCTAGGTCACAAAATCAAAGAAGCCTTCCACAAATGGCTGCACACCATGGAGTCCACTCAGAGCAGAGAATCAGAATCCCCCCAGAATCTGAGATCCACACATCAGAGAATCCTGGAATCTCAGGTTTTTTTCTAGGTCTATTGCCTCATAAATCTGCCTTATGACATTTTTATTCTACCTTTGGGCAAGACTATTGTGGGGATGATGAGAATTGTTTGTGGAATGAATAATGCACTTCCCTAAAGACATCATTGTTCTAATATCTGGAATCTATGATTATTACTTATAAATATGTCAAAAATTACTTGGCAGACATGGATAAGAATTTGGAGGTCAGGAAAGTATTCTGAATTATCTGGATGAGACCAGCATAATCACAAAGTTTCTTATAATAGAGAGGGAGTAGCATCACTGCCAGAATGGATCTGGGACAATGGAGAGGGATGCTGGAATGAGGTAAGGAGGGGCCATGGAGCCAGGAATATGGGAACATCTGAAAGATGGAAAGCTGTAGATTGGATTGTCTCTCCTGAAGCCTCCGGAATGAATACAGCCTTTATTACTTCTTGATTTTACTTCATTGAGACTTCTGACCTCCAGAAAGTAATATAATACACTTATGTCATGTGGAGCCAGTAAGGTTGTGGTAATTTGTTACAGCAGCAACAGGAAACCAATGCAAGGGGAGGGGGTGTCTGCTTCCCTGAGTGTATCATTGTCCTCTGTTCTCCCAAACAGTTCTATGTTGTCACCTTTTGCTGTCACTTTTGACAAGAGTCAGAGAGTTTAAGCTGAGTGTCAGCGTGATGACAAGCAGAGTTAGCATTGACCTTGTGTTAAGAAATCCACCCTGCATCTCTAGCTTTGTCTCATCTCTGGTTTTATAGGTTGTGGGTTCCTCCGTGGAATGAATGTGGCTCTGTGGAAGGAACATAGTTAAGGTCAGACAGTCCTAGATTCCAAGTTCAGCCATGTGCTCTCATGAACAGTTTCCTTATGTGTGAAATGGGGCACTGAGGATATGAAGGGGTGTCCTGAGGGTTGTACAAGCTGATGCACCATGAGGTGTACATACATGTATAGACACACACACATACATGAGAAGAGAATCTAATGCACCTTTTATGCTGCCTTGAATAACTCAGAATGTTATGTGAGATATTACTAGTCATATATCATTTCAACTACATTTGTCCATATTTATAACTAACAGATGCCTCTCTGTACACTGTAGAATTTATGTATATTTCTTCAATCACAAAATTTTCCACCAATCTATTTATTTCTAGTATTAGAAATTTAAGGAAGGCCATTGCAAATCAACAAAGCACCTTTAGTCTAGGTTTTCCCTAAGCCCATTTGTGTTAGTGTCCTAGGGTACTGTAACAAGTTCTCAAAAAATGTGATAGCTTAAAACAACAGAAATAGCATCTCTCATAGCTCTGGAGACCAGAAATCCAGAATCAGTTTCACTGGGCTGAGATCTTGGAGTTATCAAGTCTGGCTCCTTCAGAAGCTCTAGGGAGGAGTCTGATTTAGCTCTTCCAGCTTCCAGTGGCTTCAGCTTTCCATTGCTGGGAACCAGCCCAACCCTGTACGTGGGTGCCATGTGTCATGTCCCAGTGGTGATGAGGTAGTGAGAAAAGAAATAAGACAGAGACAAGAGAAGAAGTTCACAGCATGGGTCCAGGGGTCTAACACAGTCTCACGAGGGGTGATCCGCATTGGCACTGAGCTCTGGACTTCACATGCCTTTATTGGGTGCATTATCTTATTAATCTTGCAGGCTGTGGGGAGGGGGGTTGAGAAAGAAGATAGTGGGGGGATGGGGAAGGGCATGTGTCTGCAACATTCAACAGAAAATGTGGTTCTTCTAAGAAATGCTAAGGACACTGAGTTTTTACCACCCATTGTCTATCCAGGTACGTCGGCCAAGAGGCACTGCCGATAAGGCACCATAACATTTGACCACACACAATGCATCAAGGGGCTTTTATCTCTCGAGCACTGTGGACACAAAGCAATCAGAATGACTCCATATTCTGAGAACATAGGCAGAATCTATGGCGTTCCA